TTTTTTTTTATTTTAAGTCCTATGAAACTAAAAATTTCAACTGATTTTGTATGTTACTAAATGAAACGCGTTTCTGTGCTTCAGGCCTTTAAAGTTTCCTCGGAGGTTTAAAAGTATTATTTGATTGCGATCAAATTGGCTTGTTGTCAAAAGATCATATCCAAATAATTATTTACGTTTCAAAGCCAAAAAAGAAGAGAACAGCTCTTCGTAGTCGGCAGGATTCGAACTAGTCCAGTAGTTGGGTGATACTAAAAATCTAGTTACTCGTCAGCAGCAGAGTGGCGCAGTGGAAGCGTGCTGGGCCCATAACCCAGAGGTCCGAGGATCAAAACCTCGCTCTGCTAGTATTTTTTTACCTCTAAGGATGTTTAAATGCGATTCAAAGCCTTTTACTTCTTTTCTACCAATCAAATTGAAGAAAAAACATGCAATGGGCGCCAAGCACTGGAGAGCACGTTGGGAATCGGCAATTCAGCGAGGGTAATGACATGCTGGGCTCAAGGATCTCTTTGGAAAGATATTGGTTTCCAGAATGAAACAAATAAGTTTTCGACACGACATTCTTTTTTTCATTTTTAATTTTCAAGTTTTTTGAAACTAAAAGTTCAGGTTGTTTTTGAAAAATGATGGTTGTTGTCGTGTTTCAGGTCTCCCTACAGGCTACTACCGTCAGAAGTCCCTAGGTATTTTAATGCGTTTGGACTTGATTATTGCCAAATACTAAATAACATTCTCTGTGCAAAAGGAAAATGGACATCAGTTTTTCGTAGTCGGCAGGATTCGAACCTGCGCGGGCGACCCCAATGGATTTCTAATCCATCGCCTTAACCACTCAGCACGACTACCTTGTCAACGCAACGCTAAGCAGAAAATTGATTTACAACTCGGTCAAGAAGATTTAACCACTTTTAATTAATTACAGCATCGTTTCAGTTTGGCTCTAAGGATACGGTGAAGAAAACAAAAAAAGAAAGCACACACACGATTTTAATACACAAGGAACAAAGGAGGTTCACACGGGACATGAAGCAGCTTAGTAACAGCAACCAATTAAAAAAGGTTGCAAATCCATAGTTGTCCGTCAGTAGCAGAGTGGCGCAGTGGAAGCGTGCTGGGCCCATAACCCAGAGGTCCGAGGATCAAAACCTCGCTCTGCTAGTGGCTTTTTTTTAAACTTAAAAGAATGCCCGAAGACATTTTACTGCTTCTTTTCACTTGCTTCTTTTTTATGTTCGCCATGTTACAGAATTTTGCCGGTAAATTCGATTTTCGAATCTCTAAGAAGCTCATAAACCGAGAGTGATTCTCTTTTTCTTTCTGCGTACGTTCGAGAAAGAAAAAATTTAGACGTTTTTTATTCAGGCAAGAAGGAACATTAGATGTAATGAACGGCCACCAGAGGAAAGCTGTCAAGTCAAATATTTCAAGACATTATCTGTCAGCAGCAGAGTGGCGCAGTGGAAGCGTGCAGTGGAAGGAACAAACTCCAGGATATGTAAGCCCCAGTTTCGAGAGTTTCAAAAACATTTCTAGACGTCATCCGTGAGCAGAGTGGGGCAGTGGAAGCGTGCTGGACCCATAACCCAGAGGTCCGAGG